TCTTCTGTTGGGGTTTTCACAAGGTGTCTGAGTTCTTTTGAACTCCACTCAGCTCTCCTAATGGACCAGCTGCGGCGAACCCATTTATCCTGCTGGGTGGACAGAGGCAGTGGGGGGGGGGGATTTGGAAACTTTCCCATTGTTTCAAAAGCCGTTGAAAAGGGCCTAATAGTTAATCGGATCCCTCCAGTATAAATAAGATTCTGATTCTGCATCGAACTGGTGACTCCAAGTCCAGTGTGATAACCATTCGATCACGGCAGCATGCTTAACATTTAAATGCAAATGTATTCAAAAAATTAACAATTCCTTAAACCAAAATAAAACATTAACTCTACGTTGATCTTTGATTCAACAAGGTCCCAGTTGCCCCTTATGAAAGCAAGGGAATTACCTAACTGTACATTTAACAAACTCAACATAACTCGTGTAACTGTAACCTGACTCAAAAAATAGTTTAAATTCATACTCTTTGGTTCTATTCGATAAAGTCACGTAAAAAACAACAATATTTTTTATTTGTTGTTTTTTACGTGACTTTACCGAATAGAACCAAAGAGTATGGATCCGTGCAGTCACGAAAGCTTTAAATCTAGAAGTTTAGATTCAATATACTATTTAACAACGATTTAAAAAATATTTGCAAAACATTGGTTCCTTCTTTTACATTTCCCAGTTTTCCATGACAAATCATGACGCTTAAATCCAGTTTAAACTGCTAAAAACTGTATCGCATATCCATAGTTTTTAGAACGGAACTACCTAGGGTAAAATTACATCTTCCTCTCTGTATAGTACTCGATTCTCCTTTAAAATACACATCCACATCATCATGGTGATGTATGGGCGTCAAATTAAGACTATGCTATCTTCAATTGATGTGCTATGTAAAGGATTAACTTTTGAAATGTTGGCCATTCCAGTCAGTTCCCCAGGTCTCCAATTAAATATACAATAGACTTCACAATCTCAATATGGTTTCACCTGGTTAATGAACAATGTTATAATACTGTAACCCATTACCGAAAAGTGTCGTTATTTGACGAGTGAATTATTAAGGTTCATTCCTTGCATCGTTCCCAGTTCTCCCCTGGAACCATATTACAGTACATTTGGCAATATTAAAATAGTTAAATTATAGGACATCAAAGTTGTCGTTATCTAACAGTGTCATTTTGTGGACCATTTATGGTTTATTGTTTGCATCCCTGGAAATAAAGGATCACATTATCTCATTTGACAACTTAACTCGCAAAGAATTACCTCTTTCCCTTTAAAATCCCACTTCTGGTAGTGTTTTGACCCGCCCCTACTGGGCATCTGTGAAAAAGAGCTTTGTAGCTCATCGAATCCCTCCAATAGAAATAAACATTCTCATTCTGATACCGCCTCTCTCAATCACAAAGTCAACCTCAAAATAAAAGCTGGACATTTGTATTCAAGCGCTCTACTGAGTTGACAAATTAAAGCTACACCGTCTCATGCCTCGAGTATCAGACGTCTCTATGCTTGACCCTGAAAACTTGGTGGAAAATCCACATTCCCACGGCATTGGCCATCATTATCAGACACATGTTAACCCACTATTGGACGAGGGCCTTACCAACCCGCCTGAGATGTTAATTCTCCACGTAAACACTCGCTCAGTCTCCCTCGGTATACGGCGCCTGGGCTACAACGCTCGTAAGTTTAGAGGTGGACAAAGTGTTTCCAACGAGCAGTGGTGGAAATTCCACGTTCCCTCGGCGAAGCGCGTCATTTACACGGGATAATAAACGAGCTATCAATGTACATTGTTCTTGCAACAGCCCTTGTATAAAGGCCTTACCGTGGTGAGTGTCTGGTCATGCTTCACCGCGCTCGTCAGTCAAGTGTGCGAGCAGTAATCGGACCGATCTAGATATTACTCGCCACCGATGTTATTACCCGTGGTCGTGAATGAATGCAGTGGGACTAACTAACCACTGCGCCACCGATCCGGGCACCAGATGTCCATTATGTACTACGCGTAACAGTGACGTTACGTTAATGAAATAAGACTTAGGTGGCGGGGTAAAACACCATTGTTGTTCGTCCAAACTGTGCATTATGTTCCGCGTCGATGAAAAACCGCGCACCCACCGTGGCGACGGTTAAACTCGCATTTACACTGAGCAATTGTACGACGTTCATTATTGTTGAATGAAAGACGCCACTGTTAAAACAAAAAAATTGCGAGTACAGTAAGTGATGCGCGCGCGGTACAGTGCGGCGTGTTGTGATGAGGAAGAGCGACACTCACCCACGTCGCCATCGAACGGGTTGGTGGGCGAGAAGAGCGGCATCTTACGAATCTAAATTATTGAACAACAACAACAAGTTGGGTTGTGTTGGTGGGGGGGGCAGAGTTTGGTCGACGATAGCGAGAGATGACGACGACGACAGCTGAGGCGAAGCGGAGAGAGAATTCGCGACTGCGTTGGCGGGGAAGCCCGGGAGGCGTGACGTCACGGCGCGCGACGTCACAGTCAGCTGACGGGAGGCGGCGGCGGCGTTTTATTAAATAATTATTTATCACACTTAACAGGGGGCGGTGGTGGTGGTGGGGAGCAATGTGATGGGGCAATCGTCGCTTTTAAATCAGCCGATTCTAAACCCTTTTTCTTTGGATGCTTGTTGCAATTTTGTTTTTGTTTCAACCGACCACCCCCAAACATGCACCTCCGAATTAGCAATTCATTTCGCCTTTCCTTGACACCGACTCCGGTTTCAGTGCAGTGCAATTCATTCACGGCAACCTATCACCCTGCACCGACCCCGGGTTCAGTGCAATTCATTCAAACATTAAACCAATTTAGTTTCCAACCAATCCACGAAAGTAATGTTCTGAAACAACTGTCCTACCTCAAAGGGTCCTCCTCCACCGGAGCAGATAGTTTTCCCGTCTTTGCTCTACTAACTGTTGGTCACCTAATATACAAACCTATAGGCCATATTTTCAACCTGTCCATCAAAGAAGCATCAGTTCCTCTAGAATGGAAACATTCCTATGTCCGTCCACTTCACAAAGGGGGCCCTAAAGATGATCCCAATAACTACCAACCTATCTCAATTTTGTCCCCATTGATGAAAATTTTTGAAAAATTATTGAACTACCAAATTAGCAGTTTCCTGTCCACCAACAATGTACTACATCTAAAACAATCTGGGTTCCGGAAAAAATACAGCACCACATCTGCTGCATTAGACTCTTTGAATCAAATTTACAATAGCCTTGATAATAAGCAGTACTGTGCCAGTCTTTTTCTTGACCTGTCCAAAGCTTTTGATACAGTTGACCACAACACCCTGCTTAGTAAACTAAGTTGCCTCGGTTTTTCCGAGAACACAATACAATGGTTAAAAAATTACCTCTTTTCTCGCACCCAAACTGTATTTACAGATGGTTGGAGGTCAAACAGTGTTAAGATAACAAAAGGGGTTCCACAGGGTTCCATCCTCGGCCCCCTCTTGTTCTCTCTTTATGTCAATGACTTGGGCACTGAACTGGATCATTCCAGGGTAAATCTTTTTGCAGATGACACGATACTGATTACTGCTGGCCGCTCTCCGGATGACGTGATTGCTAAGCTCCAGGGTGATTTCAACACATTTCAACATCAGCTAGTTTCTCTTAAACTAGTCCTGAATACCTCCAAAACCAAGGTGCTATGCTTCTCTCCGGGACTAAAGCAGGAAGTTATTTTTCCCCAATTACATTCCTTGAATAATTATCAAATAGAGCAAGTCAAGATCTATAAGTATCTTGGGGTCATCCTGGATTCAAAACTTAGTTTTGAAGATCACATTGATTATATTGGTAAAAAGACAAACATAAAAATAGGTTTTCTGTATCGACACAAGCACTGCTTCCCCCCAATGTTCCGTTTGGAATTGATAAAAGCTACCATACTGCCTCTACTTGACTACTGTGACATCGTGTATAAATCAGCCCCAAGTACTGTACTGAAGAAGCTTGATTCCATCTATCACTCGGCCTTAAGATTTGCATTGAACTGCCCATATAGGACTCACCACTGTGATCTCTACATTGGGTCAAACTTAACATCTCTTAATGTTCAACGGCTTGTGCACCAGCAGACTACCTACTGGATCTCCTCTCTGTTTCAAAGAACAAATTTGACCTCAGGTCTTCGCTCATTTACCAGCTTCACATTCCCTATTGCCGTACAAAAACTGGAGGAATGGCCTTTGCTATTGATGCCCCTAGGGTCTGGAATGCTATTGCCAATAAACTGCAACTTGAATCACTACCTATGAGATCTTCACTCAAAACTGCTCTAGAGGAGTTGTACAACCCTAGCTGCCACTGCTATTCAGTGGCCTAAAATATGGCTCTAGATTTTGGTGTTATAATTAATTTATGTAGTTTATTGTAAAAAATTCGGTCACAGTCCCTATGATCACTGTTACATTGGATTTATGGCTTTCATTTTGGTGATTTCGAAAAGTTTTTTTTTGTTTTGGCCATGTTTTTGTTTATTGTAGTACGGAGTTCACTGATGGCCTTAATCTTAGTTGTCTTGTGGTTGTTGTTATTTTGACTTGCATCCCACTGGGATTTTTGCACACAGGGTTGGTGTACGGTGCTATTTCAGGAATATTTTGATATTTTTTTCCTGTATTTTCTGTTTGCACAGTCACATAATCACTTTAAGATGTTTTCTTGTTTGTGTTTTTTGTTTGTTGCGGTTGCACCCGATTCAAGAGCCGAATGGCTCACAGGGCTATACCAAATAAATGAACTATGAACTAAATGAACTATGGCACCCTATCACCCTGCACCGACACCGGGTTCAGTGCAATTCGTTCACGGCACCCTATCACCCTGCACCGACACCGGGTTCAGTGCAGTTCGTTCACGGCACCCAATCACAACCGCAACCGACTCCGGTAGCGGTGCGCGCTGATTGGGCGCAGAGCAGCGCGTTCGTGCCGTGGTGACGCCCCCCCCTCCTCTCCCCTCCCTCCCCGGCATTGTTTCTCTTGGAACACAAAAAAACATGGCTGCAGAGGTGGAGGGTGCTGAGGCGGCTCAGCCCGCGGCTTCCGCGGAGAAGAAGAAGAAGCTGCAGCAGCAGCAGAAGGCGGCGGAGGCGAGCCGGGGCAAGGCGAGCTTCCTCGCCACGGCCTGGCTCATCTTATACAACACGGTCATGACCGCCGGGTAAAAAAGTTGGAGTGTCTCTCGCCACTCCTCCTCATCCTCCTGTCGTCTGTACTCGGCAACTCTTGACGCCACCACCGCCACCAACACCAGCACCACCAACTCACAAACTCCCCACCACTGCCTTGTCGCTGGCGTGGGGAGAGAGTTGTGCACGCGCGCCACTAAACGTCTCGCGTTTGATATCGGCCGAGTTTGTTGGTTTGTTTTGTTATTTTTGGGCGGGATTGTGCCCAAGGCCTTTTGGCGATGCTAAGAAATCTCCGGCGCTGCATTCGCCTCAAGCTCTGACAATTGGCACGGTGCTTAAATATTCCGCTTGAACAATTGCAACGCGATAATCGTCTGCTTGCCATTGTGATCATTTAAGCTTGCGCTGCATTAACAATATTTACGTTTTACGTGTTGCATATACTGTCATGGGTTCACGTGGCATGTCCAGCTACTAGAGGCCGGCTACACTTAACGCGGCGTTAAAATTACAATAATGAACAGTTGCACGGGATCGCATAATTAATCGAATCGCGAGGATGGCGAAGCTTATCACCGCTAGTTATCGTTAGTAACAGGTAAAAGTACAGTCCTGTCATTGCCAACCCAGGTCACTGCTTGCCGAAGGGCCCACGCTCTGCCCCCATCACAGCTGACCTGCAATAAGTGGAACGTTCCACTTTTAAGTGTGTATTAATCGGGCTCTATGTCGCTGCGGTCATAACAATGAATCTTCAGAACCCTTAAGGATTGACTTAATCTGACTCTACGGAGCCCCCGGTGATTAAAGTAAACCCAACGAGTTTACACATATCACTTGGTTTTTGAGCCACGATAATTATCAGTGAACCTAATAAATCGTACAAGTTATCTTAGCCGGGCTCGTTTGTGCCTCGTGTAAATAATACTGCGTGCTAAGAATCCTAACGCTTATTTGAGTCTGGAGACTGTGATCCTTGGGGAATAACGCCGATTTAAAAAACCCAAGGATTGCTTTAGTCTGTCTGGCTCTATGATCTCCGGGTATTGACGATGAAACCTTAAAATATTGGTGACGTTAATCAGCATCTCTGAGTCACGCTCCCACATAGAGGCCTAAGAGTTTTGAGCGTGCGTTCATTTTATTTATTGCACTGATGCCCTCCCCCCCCCATGTAACAAGAATCGTAAGGGTGCCTTGGTCTGGCTATGTGGCCTATTTTTTTTAATAGATTCCAAAGTACAGTCCTGGATGAAAAAAAATCAAGTACTGTGCTTTAAATAGGTGAATGTGTACATGTTTATCCAAAGTATATCTAATGTACAGTAATGTATTTCTAAGGTTTTTTTTATTAAAGTGTGCTTCCTGGAAACAGACTGTAGGAGGTACACAGTGTCCGACGAAAACTAGTACCAGCCAAATACGCCCTTGTCAAGATGGTTTCAATTTAATCACAAAGTCCGCTATACCCTTGGCATGCAGATACGCACACTGTAGCAGTTGGACTTTACTTTTAAAGTTGTGTGATACCGAGTGAAGAAAATGGGTTGTGGAACTACGTTGCAGCAATTTTATAAAACATGTCTCCTTTATAAGAGAGACTTGGGCTCACTAAGCACTTCAAGTCTGAAAGTCAGATGCCTCCTTGCTCGCATGAACCTGTACATGTCAGCGGTTTGGAGCCGATGGTGAAACATGTTTCATGACAAGGCTCATCTATCCATTAGACAGTTACTGTATGTGCACCATAAGACGTGCTTATTTTTTTCACTTAGGTGAGACGATGGGCTGGGTTGAGCCCTCATAACTGAGATTTAAATGTTCGCCATCAAGCCTGGTTTAGATTCAACCTTAATTTTAAACCAAGTTAAAGTACTGTCCATCCGCTTACCTACCCAGCCATACAGCTACCGACCTACTCATCCACGCAGTGATTCATGGTGTGGAATGAAATCAGAATGGAGAAAACCCACTCTTTAGACAGGCGTAAGTCAAAAGCCTTCTTGTCATACTACCTTATACATGAGACTCCCACCAACGCCATGTGTGTGAGAATCTATTTCACATGATCAACTGCGCCATCTACTACCCCTGATAGGCGCGCCATCATGCACAGTATGCAAGCACTCTGTAAATTAATCAGCCCACAGGGAGACAAAAGCAGCTGGGTGTGTGGTTTACTGGCCACATCACCCCACTGTGACATATATCAAGCTTAATAGGCGTTTGCTAACATTGCCTGCATCTGGGAAGATTTGCTGACAACTGGTACAAGTTGTTTGTGAGGAAGAAGCTCGTGAAGTTGTACCACTGGGCATGGTGCAACTCCAGCTGGGATTCGGCAAGCTCCGGAAAAGTGCTTGAATCTTCTCGTTCCCGGATTGGCGTGAATGCAGACTGGCTCTAACTTACTTCACAGTCAAACACGCCACCCTCCAGTGCCGACTTCAATTCATCACCCTGCGGCTGTCGCAATCGGACAGTCATTGCCAACATGCGCGTCACGTTACAATAACTGGTCATTCTTGCGTGGGGTCACAGGCGGCCTAAAAAAAGTTCAGTTACAGTATCTTCTGGTTGTACTACCAGTGGCATGTGATGTGACAAATACGTTGTCATTCAGAAGCGTCACAGCAAGAAGTGCATAACCTTGTGATAAAGAACGCCTCCCAGAAAATAATGACAGAGGTGACAGAACTACTTAGTTACCTAATTTAAACCTCTTTTTTCCACACTGGGTGTCAAGCTTTTTTACATGCCCTGTTTGTGTTCACCGCATAGAAAGTTGACTTTTAACATTTATTTTAATAAATAGGTCAAATTCAGTGACAGTTTGGAGTAAAGTTTACTTTTTAGTGCAGTTACATATGTAGAGCTGAGACCATCAGTTTTCTACACTTGCAGAACCAGTTTAATTAGAGCTGTTAGAAACCTATATTAAAATGTAGGATCTTATTGTTTGCAGCACAATAACCTCAATCACTCGCTGATTTAATTTTACTAACTATTCCCCAAAATTACAAATCACAATTTCGCATTGTGTTAAAGAAAAGTATAGCTGTGCATACTTTACATTGCACACAGTCTGAGCTGCGTCACAAAGAGAGGTAGGAAGCTTTGTGGGCTATAATGCCTGCATCAGATCCATTGGACCAACACAGCCGAGATAACAGGTTTTAACCCAGGTTTCATTAACTGTTGATCAATCATGCAGAAGTTTATTGTGTGGTCTCAGCCGGGTCACCTTTTACTCAAGTCAAAATGTCTCCTTGTTCACTCATACATGGAAAGGGGTTCTCATTTCTGTTGTTTTCTCGTGAGCCTGTGGTGAAAATTCTACATTCCCATGACTTGGGCCAGTATGTTCATATCACTACTGCTTTTGACGTCTCAAAATGTGGAGCTAATTTAATTAACCCTGAATGGACATTGGGTTGAATGGGTCATTTTCAATGTTATTATGAGCCAAGCACTCTAACCACATTGCCACCATGCCTGATTATAAATCTGCAATATAAAACTAAACTCTACAATATATTCTTTCATACTCTTTGGTTCTTTCGGTAAAGTCACGTAGGTAATTTTTTAAAATTATATATTTTTACCTACGTGACTTTACTGAAAGAACCAAAAAATATGGATTCCAGCAGTCACGAAAGCTTCAAATCAATAATCTTTCATGTTTTTATATCTATGGATTTAAAAATATTGGCTTCACTTTACAGCTTATTTTCATAAAAATTAAATGCAAACAAAAAATGTGTAAACCAAGAAACACATTTCCCCATGTGTGCACTGTAGACTAAAAACTGCTCATGTAGAGGTGACTCTAAGCACAGCCATATCATTCACATTCCTTCTGATATGACCCACCAAGGTAATTGCTCATACAGCTGTATTTAACTCGACAAAGGTTCATTATCTTTGGCACGTTGGCCCTATGGGTAGTACAATTTGTACAGCACTCGGGCTGATAATACAGTGTTTGTATTAGAGTATGTCGGGACTATATTTAGCAGGAAGCACGTTGCAGAACACTTTCTAATGAGCAGTGCCATTCAAGTCTTGAGCTGTACTTCAGTTTCACTTTAAATACATTCGTAAATTTGACTTTACATATTGATTTTATGGCTTTTAGTTGATGATCTTCGTAATGGAAAAAGTATTTTTTTAAATTAAAATTTGTAATCCATACCTGTGTATGTGTGCAACCTACTAATATAGAGATATGTGGATTTCGTGACCGTCAGAAATTCATAGGACAGTGGCGTGTTTTGGCTGTCTTAAGGATATACATAATGCGCTCTCATGAGGAATGCATGGAATTAACCAAACTTAGAAATAGCAGAGAAGCCCTATGTGCTGCCTAGTGTTGTAATCTTAAGTCAACCGGTCAATGAAAAGTCTTCCATATCTGCTTGGTTTCCAAAATAGCTGATTTTGCCAATTTTGGAATAGGCTATGTAGCAAAGTTTACTGCATGGATCAGTGGTGTATTGTGCCATTCATTGTGGCATATTAATCTATCTATTTATAAAAGGGAAATGTGTGAATGTGTGTCTGTTCAAAATGTTTAGCGTACTTCCTGATATGCAACAAACTTTAAATTTGGCATGTAGGTACTTTCCAGACTGTACACCATGCAAAAATTTAAAAAATTGCATGGCAAGTGAGCTGTGACGTCACATCTGTCATGTCACCCGCATGCGGAAGCGTAACGCAGTTTGCCTGCTGATGTCACGCATCCCCCCCCCCCTACCTTCCGCGAGTAAAGTGGCATACAAATGTGTTGCAGGTCTAAGGCGTTCTTCGCGCAGCATTGCTTTATTATTTCAGTCGTTTACTGCCGTACGCACCCTGAAAGTTGCGTGTCTGCAGCAAGCGCGTCTTTGTGTACCTATGGACGCGCGCGTCTGTGTGTGTGGGGGGAGCGGTAGTGTAGTGGTTAGCGCTACGCTGCGCTACGAACTCGGCGACCCAAGTTCGATTCCCGCTCACGGCCACCACCGGTGACGATTATTTGAACCGGGGCCTCCCCTAGGTCGACTCAGCCTCAAACAATTAACTGGTGTGGTGTGTGAACATCGCCACTGGGGAGACAAAGGCGGCCGGGCGTGGTGAATTCAAGTCCCGGGCGAAGCCGGGTAGTAAAGCTAGCTTATAATAAGTATAAACACTCCATTTTCAATATAACAATACAGGCCTTAACACTTCTGTGCTACATTGTACTTGCATTCTACTATGCTTGTCTTTATAGATGTAAGAAACACAAGTGATAGTGGGGAATTATATATTTTTAAACCAATGGGACTAATTTTTTATTATAATTTCAAAAACAAGTTTTACTTTTACATGTTAGTGCTGATGTATTCGTTGTCTTGCTATGTGAAACAGGTGTTTAAAAAGCACACAGTTCATAAATGTTTTTTCTGTTGCACAAAACCTTGGATTGCTCGTAAGTTTACGGTGGTGGGGAAGGGATCATTACATTTCCAGCTGTGGAAATATTGGGCTGTGACTAATAATGAGGAGCTAAGAATGCATGACTGAGTGTGTAATGTGTGCAACACGGAAGTAGATTCTGCCTATAGGTGTAGTCTAGCCTTTCCAATCTATTTCAAACCTTATGTTTGAGTACATGTGGAACTATCATCGGGAAATAGTGCAAGTACATATTTACATGTAAAGCTAATTTGTGAAACAACTGCTGGATGAGGACCTCTCCCACGCCATGCAGGTCACGGACGTTATTTGAGCATACTTTACCATGCTGGTCAGTGTGGATTACTGCTGTTGCGGAGGTGGAAGCCTCATTATATAAGTACAATAATGCAGTGCTTAGGCCTTGCTTAGCTTATAAGATCAGATGAGATTGGGTGCATTCGGGGTGATTGGTCATAAACACTATGAATTGTATATCAATAGTAAAATAAATTGTGGCATTTTAAATGCATTCATGTATGTAATATATAATTAAGGGGCCTCTGTTACCCTAAGGTTGATAAATCCTGAACCGAGGCACTGTGTGGGGGCCTGCAAAATAATGGGTTTGTCTCTGGTTTCTTCACACCCAGGTGGCTGGTGTTGGCTGTGTCCATGGCTCGTTATGGGCTGGCCAAGGGCTCAAACAGGGGTCTCTATCGCTCAATCGAGAAGACCCTAAAAATCTTCCAAACGGGCGCTCTCTTGGAGGTAATTATGATCATGGTATCATCGTGCCATCATCGTGCCATCATCATCATCGTCGCGTTCACAATTAGGAACATCGTAATAGTATAATTATCATATTCTTGGTTCTTTCGGTGAAGTCACGTAGAAGGGAAACAGTAAAATAATAAAAATACAAAACAATAAAATGATCACGACGTTTCGACTGCAACACAAGCAATCATCATCAGGTGTCAAAACCACAGCAAGAAAATTTGAAAAAAAAAGTGGCGTTTTTTTAACGTTAGCACCGCCGAGAGCGATTTGGCAGTTATTCAGATGGACGAGTCCATCTATGTTCGGAAAAGGGGAGGGGGGAGACGAAAATAATGGATGCGGTCTGAAAGCCACCGTAAGCGTGAACAATCAATTAAGACCCGAAATGGTTTATTAAATCCTTCCAATGATTGCTAAGCCAGAATCCATCTTCTCGGTTGAAATTGTCTCTGTGTTTGTATATGTGGATAGCCTCATGAACTAATCTCTCATGGTAGCCAGATGGCTTTTTTTTTTCAAATTTTCTTGCTGTGGTTTTCACACCTCATGATGATTGCTTATGTTGCAGTCGAAACGTCGTGAGAATTTTATTGTTTTATATATACATTTTTTTAACTATTTTATTGTTTCCCTTCTACGTGGCTTTTCATCATCCCAGAAATCACTGTTTGCCATGATCATTATAATTGGCTATCCTAAATTATCATAAATCATGATCATTATCAAGTCCATGATTTTGTGTCACATTGCAGGAGTTTCAAAAGTGAATGAGTATCAATCATAATTTAATGAGATCTGAATTAGGTAAATGTACAGTAAAACCTTGGATTGCGAGTAACTTGGTCTGCGAGTGTTTTGCAAGACGAGCAATTTTTTAAAATAAGTATTAAGTTGATAGACGAGCGAGGTCTTGGAATACGAGTAGCACGTATACGCTTTGTCTGCCGAGCGTCACGTGATCACAACTGATATACGAGTGCTTTGATATACAAGTGCTTTGGATTACAAACACGTTTCCGGAACGAATTATGCTCGCAATCCAAGGTTTTACTGTATATGCAAAACTGATACGTGACTTGCATCGAGCAACAGTCAAATAACGTCCATCATCAGGAATCTGTTATAATAACAGCCCAAGCAGGTTTCAGCTTTTGACTCAAAGAGAGACAAGTGTATTTTAGTCAACTAGTTAAGCATTTGCTCTCGGTCGTTCAGTTAGTAAACATTGGAGGCATTTTACTGTAGTATATGTAGCTGTAAAGCAAAGTTCACCTGCCACAGAGCCGGCTTGAGAAATTACTTGGGTTTCTGCTGTATCCTTTTTAATATTCCAAGATAAAATCTCATAGTGCAATGATGACTGATATCAGTTTCTCATAGCTGTGTAGTTGTATTTCACAATTGTATTGTACTTCTTTTTGTGCTTTGCTGTGCTCGTGTACAAATAAAGATACTTATTAGTTCTTCACCTGCAGTTCACTTGGCTTCATCGGTTAATATTTTCAATCTATAAATTGTATTGTTGTATCTTTTATTTATCCAATAGATTAAATAAACCCATTTAGACACAATGCAACTTTTCAGCAACATTTTATCATTTTACTCTGAATATAAATACGCTTATTTAGAATACTGTTTATTATTATTGAAGGGGTTGTCTGCTGCTCAATAACTAATATTAGTTGAATTAGTCATATGCCTCTTTAAAAACTGATCAGAAAACATTCTACGAATACAATTTTCATCAGGGCCCCAATGTGTTAAGTGCTTGCTCTTTTGCAAAGGCAACCTGGTTTAGCACACATGCTGTCAGTTACAATGAAACGTGCTTAAATAATTAAGTGAACTGTGAAAATGACGATATAATAACCACCACACCATCAGTTACTCCAGAAAAACATTACGCAAATCACTAAATTTATGGATAATAGTGATTTATTACAACTTTATTGAGTACATTATTTCGTAAATTAATTTGTCAGGAAATATGATATTTGAGAAAAATAAAATGACCAACTATTATCACAATGTGATGATATTTTGCAAAACAAATAATAAACTTATCACGGATCTTGTATCGTACGATATATTGTAGTATCGCCATGTCGTGCCAACGATAGAAATGACCAAAGCCGTACATTGTATGTTAAAGACCCGGTAACATGCTTCGCAGAAGGAGGCCGATATATGTTATAATGGCCGATATTCAAATTCTATTGTAATTAAACTTCCGCAAAGCATTTTGTAGAGGGAGGCAATTTTATTTAAAGGAGAAACCCATGGGTATATAAGAGTTTGTTTTGTAATTTCCTACTATATAAAATACTGTTTTAATATATCCACATAACAGACAGGGGATACACCATGTGAAAACATCTGTAATAGCCTACACAGACAAACCTTATTAACTGTATATGGGGCAGTGCCATTTGCGAGCACCTGGTAAGGTCTGAAGCTTGTGATATAGCTGAGGACACTACGCCTGTCAGCATTCATCTCTCCAGTAATGATATTTACACACTGAACACTGGTACACATTTAAGGCCGAGTAGACCTGAATATATATCTTATTATATTATAGATAATCTAGCAATATTCGAACTGTACTTGTCAATTACTCTTCATAAACAAACCCGCTTTGTTTTTTTTCACAGGTGGTTCACTGTGCCACTGGTAAGTCTGTAGTCATCTACCTATTCATGTGTGCATTTGTAGAGTGGTGCATTGTTTAGAGTTCTCTTCTCTGATACCACTACAATCCACAATTCCCTTGTGTGTACCTTGCTTGCATTAAAAGGTCCTCACAAAAAACAGTTGCCTCTATGGTCTGTAAGTATAAATAGATAACTTCTTTGTGTATGTGTGCACAGAATGGGTGATTAAATTATAATGTACATCGGAAAGTATCTTTGTACACCATGTTCCTCTTCACCGGTTCAGTATAAAATGTTGCCAATTGTTGTGACCTTTAAGTAACTGCCTATGGAGGTCTGTGACGTCATCTTTAAGGGCAATTTCCGGATATGATGCCTGGTGACTCTAGGTCTCCAGGAGTTAAGGAAGAACCAGGGTTTCGTCACCTCGTGATGTGACTCCGATAACACAATTTGGATATATTAGGTTATAAACAGCTAGAGTCGGGTTGGCAACACTCCACTCTGAACCTGGCAACACAAGTTTGATTCCTGGCTGGGTGAATTATATGTTAATATATCCAGGGCTTCATTCACCGTTCCATATTGACCAGCATGAAGAAGTATTCTCAATTACCCCTAAAACAGGCATGGTGTGGTGAAGCTTTATCAAGGAGTGGATTGACAAAAAGCTGTACATTATGATAGCTTCAGCATACATATCCTAAAAAGACCCTTAAAATAAATTAAATCTGTATTCCCATTATTGATGGTTTATTGTGATATCGGCATTTATTAAAATGATAAATCCACAGCATTTCAAGAAAGCATAAATTTTTGTTCGTAATTTTAAGAAATGCAAACCATATTGCACGCTCAGCAAAGTGCTCAATTCACAGTCACAAAGTAAGCAAGTTCATATCCTGTTTGAGGGTTAACTCAACCTATCATATTTCCCAGGGACATTAAATTTAGCACTTGTGTCTGGGATGTCCACAGTTGTCATCTTAAGTTTGTCAACTGTCCCCTTGCCAAGAACATGTGCAATTTCCAGCACTGGCTTTTGGCTGCCGTTGAAAAGGACCACCTATCCCATTCAAGTAATTCGATGAGTGACTTACATTTAACAAGGGATGTTCTGCTGCTAGTTTGTAGTCATATGGTATTTACAGTTAGGCAGTACTGTTATCCTGCACAATATAAAAAGGACGTGCCTAAAATCCCGCTGCATCCTTGTTCATCCTTAACCTAAAATTGACAGTCTAGCCATAATGAAAATGCTGACTGCAAGTGTTACTATTTCTGTAGCAGCGCCGAGCTATCCCTCTGCCCTGTGCCTTGTCTCCGTCTCACATAATCCAGGCGTGGTTTACGGAGGCTTGTGTGGATAGAGCTGCGGCTAGAGCAGTGTTCTTCACAAACTTTCAGAGAGGCGGCCACTTTCGCAGATAATACATCGCCAGTGCGAGGGCCACCACATATTTGACACCATTGGGTTTGACAGCATGATGGGGTGTTTTCACATGTGTGTATTGTGGGGGGCCACACGTCAGGGCCCGCACTAAAGGCCGCCAGTGGCCAGTGGGACTTGCAATGAAAAACATTGGGCTTGAGCATTAGACTAGCAAACACAACGTTTGCAGGTTCAAATCCAAGTTGGTGAGCCATTCATAAGCATCCCTCTGAGATTTATAAAATGAGTACCCACCTTGTTGGAAATAAAAAGTGGTCCCTATGGTAAGATTGGCTTCCCGTAGTAAACATTTAGAATTTTAAACACTGGGCCAAGGCTGCTAAGGAATATGAACCAACTGTAATGCTTATAGGAGTATGAAGACACTTATACTTGAAAGAATATATAGATATAATTTATAACGGCGCAGCCCTTGCAATGCATTGCTCATGCCACTGCTGGTCGAAGGGCCTCCAAGGAGGTCCAGACATCTTGGAAGAAGTGGGAGTTGTTACGCTTTACCCCACCACACGCAACCTGCTGATCAGCTAATTGTTGTATACCATTTTATATTACTGGGTGCACAGAGGAGGGGGAAGTAAAGAAACTTGCCCATAGTTTAAACTGTGGTGCCGGGAGATGAAATTGAACAGCAGATCTTTTGATTGCAAGTCCAGTGTGCTACCCAATACATCACAGAAACATCCTTATTTACCAAAATATACTGTGTGTGTGTGTATATATATGGATAATCAATGATACTATTGGCATTATTTGAACATTAAATTGAGACATTTTCATCTGGAACACTCACAATGAGCAATGTAACACAGTGTATAAACAAATTTTGTAAGAGAATACTGGTGGACGTTTACACTACTGATGAAGCCACTTTAATCATTCACCCTTGCTGAACTTCAATTGGTGCTTTGTTTATGCCCAGACAATATTGTCAAACAAGACACAAACCTAAAAGTAATTGTATGTCAAACAACTTAGCTATAATATGCCACGTTAAATTAACACTACGTTTAAGATCAGCCTGCACTGTGCCACGGAGATTATGTTTTAATAACTTGCACCCGAAATGCACATTCAAACCAATGGGCCTTGATCTTGCTGGCTTTGTGCTCTAACATGTCCAACGTGAGCCTGCTGATCCACCCGGCCAGAATTTAATATTAAACACCAAGGCGAGTGAGTGCTTGTGTTGCTCTTCCCGCAGGGATTGTGCCATCTTCAGCTGTGCTCACCGCGTTTCAGGTGTCGTCTCGAGTTTTCTTGGTGTGGGCTGTCACAGACAGCGTGAAGCCAGTAAGACCACACATTATCACCATCTTCACGATCCATCCTAGCCACCGTCATCAAATGTACACGTTTTGTGCAATTAACATTTGAAGTAGCTGGGTGGCTCAGACGATGCCCAAGCACAACAACAATCGCCATTTGTCACTAAGTGGCGGTAACGTCACCACAGCGCTTGTGCCAGACAATGGGCACGTTAAGCCCATGTTAAGTGTTGAACGCCCGTTGGCGGGAGGTTACAGGTCAGACCCAGGTGCCATGGGTTGACTGAATGAGATGACTGGCCGATGCACCACCTGTGCCCCTACTGTGCCAACTTTAACCGCCCGGCACTGTGCTCATTGTTGTGAGCGTCGCTCCTGCCCTCCATTGTTGCTGGAGGGTGACTGCTTCCAACTGCTCAGTAACATCCTTCACGAGCCTCCTCCCCAGAGGCCAATCTTGACACCACTGTTATTAGTCATTGGCAAGTCCACTCAGCTCCACGTCCAAGCACGGGCATGGCAAGACCCTCCAATGATTAAACTTGATTCTCAAGTGGAATGAGTTGTATTTATTTCAAGAAACAAATACATGTTTGTTCCACTTTGGCTTATTCCAGCTGTGCAAATTAAACTTTTCGGTTTGATTGGCATAAGACAAACACTTTGCAGGGAATGTAAAACGAGTGCTTGTGTGGATAAAGATGCCTTTGGGATGGATTCATGAATTAGTTATGTGATGTTCTCTTTTGGGGGTTTTTCTTTTAACTCCAGTTGGCACCTCATAGTTAGATTCCCAGGTGAAATGTCTTCATCAACTTGGTGCCGATTGGAATATAATTGTGTAAAGAAGTTTCGGCCTGGGTGTGAGTCTGGAACTTTTTCTTCGTTACGACTTCCACACAGTACGTCACACATCAGGGAATTACTTTGTTCTTGAGCTAACCTTAACCCCTTTATATCCCTCCTTTTATTCTCTTCCACTTCCTTTCCAGAACCGATCTCCACCAATCTCCTTAATTTCTCCGAACGGTCTCCCAACCGACCCCTAATTTCCACTGAGTTCTCCCTGACGTCCAATCAGATTTGAATGTTCCCAACCTTCAAATCCGATTGGGTGTGCCCTACGTTGGCTCCCACCTGTGATAGCTCTTCTCCAATGAGAGTCGAGCGTGCCAATCAAACTCACATGCCGTTAAATTCGTGTATTTGAGAAGAGTGTATATTAATTTATTTTCTTATAGGACTAGCCTCTCACAATCCCTTACAATTGTCATCTAAAAACCTGATCATGATCACCATGTTCAATTCAAATGATTTTTCACTCTTAAATAATCAGTCATCAATTAAAATGTGTTTGTCATTCTAATAGACAACTAATGTTGACGGCTTCTCATGTTTGCATCCTCTAAGGAATCATGGACTGAGTCAACGCTATGCTGAGATTTGAACGCCACAACCTTAAGACTTTGAGTGGACTGTATGCAACAGCACCATCCAGCCAAACAGCCTCGGTACAAAGCAAGCAGATAATTAAGAAAAAAATGTTCATCTGATGAATAATTTGAAATTGCAATATCATAGCATTTTATTGCATTGTTAGAAAACTCCACATTCTCATGGTGGAAGCCATTTGAACATGAACACAAATTATGTTTTTCAGGTTCAGAATGAATACAGTGTCCTGATTTACCTGAGCGCCTGGACTCTGACGGAGATCGTCCGCTACTCATTCTATACCTTCAGTCTTCTCAAGTACCTCCCACGTGCCATCAAATGGGCCAGGTATGTGAGCCGCACGTCACTAATAATTAAGTTACCTCTTTGCCCAAGCGCTCGAGGGGACTAGGACAGTGTGCTGGATAATCACGTGGCTCTGACTTGTAGGCTGGAAGCGTGGTGCAGTGGTGCCACTTGTGCCTCGCAGCAAGAAGGTCCTGGGTTCTATTCCCTACTCGAGCGACATCCTGCGTGTAGTTTGTACATCCCTCCCCCCCCTGTTCTGTACAGGTTTCTTCCAGGTTCTCCGGTTTCTTTCCACAGCTAAAAAAAACACATTGTAACTGGTATTGGCCAAACACCCCTGCAAATTACTCAACTGGGAATACAAAGAGTAACATCGTCTCCTACTGCAATAACGTGGCAGTACCATCCTGAAAAAGAGTCTAAAGGAGTGAGTGAGGCTTTCCTGTTAAACAAGTGAAATAAATCAATGTTACTTTAAGCTTCAAACTTATGTTGGGATAGCCTTGGGACGCACAACATAGGTTGCGTATCTGCGGAATATGACTCGATTATTTTCTGAGTTGCATCTGATTTGGACGTATATATTTATTGAGGCAACCGTGCTAATCGGAGCGGCGGGCTTGGCGGGCATTTTGCTGTCACGTTGCCCATTTAGGTACACGCTGTTCATCGTGCTGTACCCACTGGGCGTGACGGGCGAGCTGCTCACCATCTACCATGCGTTGCCCCACGTCTACCGTTCCAAGCTCTTCGCGTACCCACTCCCCAATGCCCTCAATATCTCCTTCGACTACTACTACTTCCTCATCATCGTCATGATCTCCTACGTGCCAAGTGAGTGCTCAAGGCCTTTTTGTCATTTGAATAAAGTCATGAGGAAATAATTACATTGTACTGCATTTGCCCAGGAACGCCTCATAGTTGGACCATAACACTGGCGGCGAGATGTCAACTACCTCGCCTGGTATACAGGAGGGTGGTGGGTCGCGCTCCCAACCCTGATGCCTATATATTTGGAGTTTGCTTGTTCTCCCTGTGGTCGCATGGATTTCTCTCGAGGTCCTCCGGTTTTTCTCTCCACCACAAGAAACGTGTGTTTCAGAGTAATTTGGCTGCTATACATTTCTACGTGATAAGCCACTTCGTTGAGCTATTGTTTATTGCCAGGTTGCTTCTGAAAAAGAGCTGTAAAGCTCAGTAGGCCTTACTTGGTAAGATAAAAATAGTGAAAGTTTAAATTTAAGATTCGATACTGAATATTGCCAGATGAAATTTATTATCGGTTCAATCTAGATTTGACGTTTTCGTGACTGCAGGGATCCATACTCTTTGGTTCTTTCGGTAAAGTCACGTAGGTATAAAATAAAATAAGTTCAATCACGACGTTTCGATCGCAACACAAGCAATCATCATCAGGTGGGAAAACCACAGCAAAAAGCACAGTATCTCTCTCCCACTTCAGCAAAATAATTTTCTTTCTGTGGTGTTGCGATCGAAACGTCGTGATTAAATTTATTTTATTTTTATACCTACGTGACTTTACCGAAAGAACCAGAGTGGTATGTCTTATCGGTGATGGGTCTGAAACTACAAACTATGATTGAGAATCTGTATCCCTAGATTTAATTGTTTCTGGCTTACTGCTGTGACAGAGCCATTGAGCTTCTTCTAGTTTCCTAGCCACCTCACTAGACTCTTCTTTTGAGGCAGTAATAATAATAATGTTGCCCTTTGTTTATCCTGCAGAGCCGAGCTGAGTATCAGTACTCTTCTCAGTAGGCTCTTGCATGGAGATGCTTGGTCACTTGATTTTCAATGTGTTTTTGAAAATGAGAGCAAGATGGAGAACCTTGTGGAAGCACATGGATATTATTATCCTCGTTTATCTAGGAATGCCTCGCTGAGCCTCATGAATATTTCTTGGAGGGTCCTGCGAACAGTTGGGAGGCTATAATTGCTTAAGTTCCAATTTTGGAATTTGCAGGTAATTTTTCAAATTTGACAAAGATATGGATGTTGAACTTCTTTCGCACTGGACGTAACCATCTGTGCTAATTGGAGGTGCGGGGGGAAGGACTAAATTAAACACAAAATTCAGTTCTAAATAAATGGGTTTTCAATCCAGATTTAAAAGTGCATAGCTCCAGTGGCTTCCTAATATCGGAAGGAAGAACGTTCCAGTCGGCCGCAGAAACGCATCTGAAAGCACGCGATGTAGTTACTGTGCGATGCGGTTACCATCTTTGTTCGATGGCGAGCCAAAAAATGTACCAAGATGCCAATACACAACGGTCTGCTCTTGCGAATGATGTCGCAGGATCGTTGACTGAAGCAGACGGGATGTATTTTTACCATGAATTCACCTGCAGTACCAATCGGGCCAGTTGCTGGATTCTAACCATGAGCCTCTGCAACAGGCGGTGAATGCACAACCGCAAGGTGCCGTCGCTTTGAAGGCATCGCACTCAAAACAGTCCTCGGCAATAGGTTTTAAGGCCACTTGCTTCAATGCTTTTCCCTAGATACATACTCTGCATAGTGGATTCAGAGTTTCAACGCCTCATGTTAATACTGAATAAATGGCTCTCCATTGTGCTTTCGGGTTTTACCACGTGTTATTCGGCATGATGTCCGACATTTCACCAGACGAGTTCCCGAAGAAGCTCCCAGCACATGAAGCGACGTGTCAGATATAATGCTTGAACAATGCGCAGCACGACCCAAAAACACATCGGAGGGCAGTGCATGTTTACGAAACCTACATGAGCCAATCCCACACAAAATCTGCGGCATATGTCGCGACCACGTCTAGCTGTTGACGATTACATTGCGACTTTCCTTTGGTCCCTTTCCCTTGCCCTTTCGCCAGTCTTCCCACAGCTCTACTTCCACATGATGTCCCAACGCAAGAAAGTTCTTGGAGAGCCGAAAGCCAAAGAATCGTAACGGGCCACAACCTGTACACCAGCCGTGACGAAACATCAGGGACAAGGCTGTCAAAGGAAGATGCAACACAAATGGGCAGTATGTCATCATTAATAAAATACAAATCAACCATGATGCGACAGTTACAATCTGCTTCTTTTAATCAAAAACTGTCGGTTCACCTCCCAAATACCTCCTCCCGTTTACAAGACAAAGCGCTGCCAATACGGTTTCAAATTCCCCCCTCTTGAGTCGAGCTACATAAACGAATGTGAAGAGACTCTCACAATGAACCGCAGTACGTTGGCATGCAGAAGAAGTGTTGGGGCTGCTGCTGCTGCCTTGTGAACGGCTGTGGGTTTGTGTTGCGGTTGCTAGGATGCATCAGCTGTGCAGCTGCATGGTGCAGTAATAGACAGATTGTGAGCAGGGCTGGAGGGTGTTGTCCCCAATATCACACTTGGGATTTTCACCCACGCACACATAACACAAGTCATGTGATGTGTTTTACAGCCATGCCCTGGTGACATCAGTAGAGGGTGCTGTAGTGAATGCCCCTTTCACATTCATGCTCCTCTGCACGTACTAAAACTTTAAACTCGTGTCAGACGTCGCAGAATATAGACACTAAGTGTGCATGTCTGTATTTTGGATTGCTTCTTAACATTGGAAGTTTTTCTTCCTCACTGCGTGGAAGACCATTTGATTTTTAGAATCCACTGGAATTTTGTTTAATCTTGTTATAACCATTTGAGGTTGGCATCACTTGAAATTAATCATCAGGATAGCCATTTTAACCTTTAGCTGGTTATATATATTTTTTTCTTTTTTGCAGACAGTAATTTATCATTTGGCTTTTGATTTCAGAGTGTATAGCATTTATTTCAAAGCATTGGGCTGTTTTTTTCCCTTTTAAATTAGTAGGCAGCTGTAGACGTCAAGTCACATTGGCTTGGCAGCTACTGCACTAAATCCATAAAACACTGATTGAAAAATAAAAATACTATTTTTTTTTTTTAATATTGGTATGCCCCCATCCTAAAATGTGAAGGGTGGTGCTCATCTTCGTTGGCAGTGGTGGAATTCCACATTCCTATGACGGAGACCAGTGTCTTTCCCATTACCTCTTGCCGGCGAGCCTTCGCCACTATACTTTCTTTAGCTGGCAAAATTGCCGTGCTAGTCACAGCCACATGGTGGCAAAATGGTGGCTGTGTTGGCTGGTTGGTGGGGAGGGCAGGTGCAAGACGACCATCATGGTAGTCTTGATGTCCAGTTTTTTTTATTGGTCCTCCATGGACTGGTGACTACCATCCTCTCCGCTCTCTCATCGCTATTGCCCTCCACGAGCTCTCTGCTCAAGCAAAGCTTTCTGTTCAATCCATTAATCTTCGCTCCGTTGGGAGGGTTGCTCATTCTTCTCTACTGCACCCATAGGCTGGAACTCTTTTTCTACCGCGCCATCCGTGCTGTCAACTCCCGTTCCTGTTCCAGTCCCAAGACAATTTTTCCAACCTGCCTCGACAAAATATGTTCAGTGCTTCTCTACAGCATCTTGAGATGCAATTACATTTCAAGACATTTACATTTTTTATCATGTCTGCACCTAATCTGCTTAGTCATTGACATTTTGAATACGCATATGCTTATTTACCTTCCATATCAAGAACAGATATCCATACATTGCCAATTGATAGTGGAAACCTGTACACAAGACATTTACATCCTAATGTGTAATGTACTTGTATATGTCATCATACCTCGGTGCATAAACCGTACCTGATAGGTGAGTACATGATGTTGAGGACAATTCTGTTTTATGTATGATCTAATACAAATTGGGTTCAAATCTGAATGGTAAATTATAACATTTTCACCCTTATGTACATTATTTTGGTTTAACCCATATCAGAGTTTGATGCAACACTTATACTTTTTTCCCTCATTAACGAACGTTAAAAAGCTGCTAAATCACCCAGAACACAGCATATGAATCTCCTACATAACTATTTTTTAAGTTGCATCTTTTTAGTCTGAATGCATTTGTCTTGTGTGTTAAAGAGCAAGTCATCAAGTCACATACATCATCTGACCGAAACAGTGTACAAAAGAGCTAAGTTATAAATACAAAACACAAGCCAATTGAAACTGTGACACCAAACATTACCAAGGCTAAATGTTAGACAACTTGGGAAAACGTTGCACTCACCTGCTTAACGTTAGTGAAGTGTTCACATGCTACTTGCTGCCCTTAACCATGTTTACACGGATACAAGCTTACTAAATTATACACTTTTCGACAGTGCTTTAGCAGTAGGGCTTTATTGCTGATTTTAAAGTGTGGTCGGTTGAAGGGTTTAATTGTGGCAACGCAGTAGTAGAATACCCGTGAAGTTGGTAACAATACTATTGGGGAAATGTATACCTTTTTGTCATAGGGCCCCAAGAGATGTTGGTGAATGTTCTAATTCATCCGATTGTTGGTGAAACATGCTGATGTTTGTGTTGTCAACAATTACAAGCTTAGCGAAGGCAATGTGTTGCAGCTGTGTAATCAAGATGTGAAACTGGCCCATAGATTTTTAAAGCTGGAGGTGTTATTGGCCTGTTGTGCATACACTGGATTGCTTGCCATATGGGCTTTTCCCCACAACACAACGGACTCTTAAACACAAAGACACAAATAAACCAATGAAACAATTGCTCAAAAGTGTTCGGGTTTTTTTCTTCCATATACATTTACACAACTGGCAATATACAGCTGGCAACATGCAAGAACATTTAATGTCATATTCTTCTGCGGGCTTTTGCTTGCGTTATGGGCCCTTGATGTGCAGAAGAAACATTCGAGGGTGCAGCATCTGTAACCTGAAAAAACAAAGTTATACCTTGTTAAATGAAGAGATGCATACGGTACACGATATAGTTGCCAAACTATCCTGTCTTTAAAGTGTCAGAGTCTCTGCTCAACTCCACAATGGGGTATTGCTCATCTCTGTTGATGGCCCTGAACCAGCCCGTGGAAATACCACATTCCTATGGGGTCATTCCCTCAACGGGACAACCTCTTGACTTCAACTCGTTTTCGACTTGGGGAAGGGTGGCAGCCTGAATTGATCCCTGTATGGGAATGGATACCGATAAGCTATATTTGATTCAAACCCAGAAATTCAATGGTACTGGCTCAATGCATTACCAGGAACATTGATGATCTCCCCGATAAATTCCAGCCACCTCTATAAGATGCTACTCCTTAAAGTGGTGGTCACGTTGATGACATTACTGATCACATTACTGTTAATAACACTTAGAGTCACATGACGAATGTGAATTCTATTGATACTGTTACTGCGATTGAGCATGATGATAATGTTGATTTATTATGTTATGGTCCTGTTGATGCTGGTGACATGCTGTAGCTACGTGATACTTTGCTCATGCCACGATGCTCGTCGGTAAGTGACCTACCTGTCGTATGCGATCCCGTATAAGTTCGGCCGAGGCATTGAGCGAAGCATCTCCCAGGTCCACGTCCTTGGGGATCTCTGGAGGCAGCATAGGCCCAACCAGCGGCTCATTCACATCCTGATGAGACGTCCGTCCACCCATACCTCCCTCCAACCTCAGCTGATTCCGAGCCTCCAGCAGCGCTGATCGTGGCACAAACCGCGCCACTGCCTCATTCTTTCGCCGCGAGCCTTGGTGGGACAAGGGACCCCTGGATTCTGTATGTCCTGCGAGCGTTGCTCGTTCCCGAGAATCGGAGTACGCCCTGGATTCTAGGTACCCCTCCGTGCCTTCACTCCGGCGCCATGTGGGCGGCATGCGGGCGGCGGGCGGAAGGTGCTGAGGGGGCGGTGGGATCATGGGGAAAGAATATGTTGGAAATGATGGTCCCTGGTCCCCGCTTCCTTGCTCATCTTCGTTGTGTGGTTCTCTCCGTCCGCGTTTAGGCTCGTGAGGAGGGGAACGGCTCGTGGGTTTACCAGTGTCATCGTGTTTGTCGTCTGCAAAGACAATGCGTGTGGTTAGTATCACTGATTAAAACAGCATCTGCATGGCACCCATCAAAGGATATAGACAAATAAAATATATACTCTTTGGTTTTATTCAGTAAAGTCACGCAGTTACATGCTAATTTCTAACTTTAACACCCTGCTGTTTCAACACTTTAACACAGCTATTTCAATGCTAAATTCCCCTGTTTGATATGTAAACTCCTTTGTTAAGGCGCTCTGCTCCTCCCACCGAGCTTAAAAGACGCTGCGAATCTTAGCAGCGTTCATTGAAGTGCTGTCGTCCTGACAGTTCTGTTCCTTCACCTGAAGAAGGCCACTTGTGTTGTGGCCGAAACGTCGTGTTTTAATTGTTTCTTTTATTTTAATTTTGTTTTTTACCTACGTGACTTTACCGAATAAAACCAAAGAGTATGAATTCTTGCAGTCACGAAAGCTTCAAATCTAGAAATAAAATATAATGAGGGACATTGCTTATGTCGATTTGCTGCTCTGAGCCAGTGGTGCAAGTTCCTTGTTCTTATGGCAAAGGCCAGTCTATCCACAAGAAAGCACTGTTGCCTTCCCACAAAGTGGTGCTCATTTTGTTGAGGGGGGGGGGGATAATGGGTTTACAGTGCCAAGTATCATTTGTAAACAAACAGAATGTTTTCAATGTTGGTCTTACCAATGTATGTCTCATGGATGAAAAAGAGTGCAAAGATGGCCTTTATAGGCATGCATGCATATAAAATAGCTTGGTAGATTCGTACATCGCCTTTATTTAAACCTGATTATAGTCTAATAAGACGGACACCAGTTGCAATCAAATATCCACACTACGAACTACCTACAAATAGCACAAACGGTAAACTCCCCCTTTCCACCCTGCAGATAACCAGATTCTCAGAAGTCCCACGGCAAATGGCTGCACCTGGCAAGAGGGGGCCGGGCATGCGTGCAATTCGCTCGACGTAACGCCGTCTCGCCTGCAGCTTGCTCCGTGCCTCCTCCACGCTCTCAAACTCGGGAGCGTAGCACACGTGCAGCACTCCTCCAAAGAAGCTCCTCTCGTCCAGCCGCCTCTTGGCCACCCTGTAACAGCGAGGCAGATGGGATAGTGTAGAAGGGGCCATTAATAATTGGGAGTGGACACTGAAAATCCTCCATCACAGATTTCCTCAACTCAGTGTTATTTTCTTCTTGCTCGGTGCATCAGTGGTTGCAAAGCCAACATGCAACCTTCAAGGTCCACTCTTTGAGTATTGCCATCAATACTAATGCTCTTGGTAGCAGATGATCTTTTGGTGTCACTTCAGTGTCTGGCTCCATAACCTGCCCTCCCCTCTTTGCTGATCGTGTGCCACCCACCACAACTTCCTTTTCCTGCTATATATGCCATGCTTTCTAACTCCATTATTCTGCTGCTTTACCGTATTCCCAAGTTACTTTCACTATATCCTGCCAATGCTGGGATCTTCACCAGAACTTGGGGTGATGATGTCCAACGCTTCTTTGGGAGCTGAAGCTCCCAGCATGTGCTGTGAAACGCGAGGGCATTGTTCCGAACAACACGCGGCACAACCCAACAAAAATCAAAGGAGAGCTAGACATCACCACGACTGCGGCCCTCCATACCGCGGGTACTTGTGTGCAAGCGGCGAGCAGGCCTCATACCTGGCGCTGTGCACGTCGCCGTACTTGATGAGGTAGACGTCGGTGAAGGGCTCGGCTGGGTACTCGTCCATGGCGTGGTACTCCTGCACGGCACCGTACAGGGCAAACAGCTGCACCAGCTCCTGTGCAGCCCCCACGGCCGGGACACCCTGCACCAGCAGGTAGCGCGACTCCTGCGCAATGGTGTACACCTGCAGGAGGCCACAGTCATGGGTATCAGAGACGCACGTCTGGAAAAGCGGTGCACTGCGGCAATGATGATATATCACGGCCAATGAAGAGTAACGATTCAGTGAGTGAAATGCAGATACACACCGCCTTAAAATGTATATTTGGGGAAGTGCGAAGTTCTACGACCCACGGTTTGCTGTTTGTAGCCACAGTTGCAATCCTTACTGCACCGCAGGCATAAGGAGATATATATCGACGAGTGGCAGGCAGGCAGGCAGTGCTGGCTTCAAACATGTGTGTAGTAGTAGTATGGAGACGTGACGTCATATGCGGTGTGAGGTGCGATGACGTAATGCCACCTGGGGGTTCCTCGTGACGAAAGCGGGGTCGTCGTGGGAAGCCGGGGATGGAGAGCGTTTGAAGAGACAGCCAGGGGTGAGGCTGGGAGAAGTCTACAAGAGCCAGCTGGGTTTACGTGGGGCGCTGCTCTCCTCGGTCGGGCGGTGTTGGTGAAGCCACCGTCCCGACTCGAGTGAGCCCGAGGTCCCCGTGAAGGACCCAGTGTATGGGGCACCTAACCCTTTGTGCAGTTATTGCTTTTTTGTGTTAATAAACCGGCGCAAGCCCTTACCTGGAAGCCTGACTCCGAGTCGTCATTCACTACACAACACATGTGCAATGAGGACCCACTTTTTTTTAAAAGCACCTCACGCCAAAAAAAAGTGTGTGTTCGTCTGTATTCATGTCTGTTTTATTCCTCCATGCCGGTCTCCGTGGGCATCTCTCCCCTGGGCTCTGAATTTGTCTCACGGCATCTCTCCATGCCTGTTATCTCTTCATATCTGTTCCTTTCCGAGACTATCTCTGTATCTATCGCCGCTTCTATTTGCCTGTCCCGTGTCTGCCAGTGACCCGTGTCTTGCCTCTCATAAGTGTCTGTGTCTGCGTCGCTCCTCGGGTCTGTCCAGGGCCCCGGCTCGGACAATTTACTTTTGTCTGCGAAACAACACGCTCAAGGTTTCGACGTTTCGCTCCACTTCCCGAAGAATTGCGCAACGTGGCTGCGGGGGAGACGTAAAGTGAGGGATGAATGTGAATCCGTAGCTTAAAATCTTATCAATTAAATCACATCGAGGGGTGGGGGGTGGTGTGGGAAGGAATTGCCTTCCACTCAGGTGCAGTTAAATCATCTTGGCCACTGCAAAGTGTAGTAATGTACAACAATGCTGGAGAGTGAAAGTGTCTCCCACGCTCGCTGAGCAATCGATCGGTGGTGGAAATTACACGTTACTATGGCGGGCAGCACGCGATATTTGTCCGCTACTAGCGTGTATTTGCTGTACGTCGACGGAAAACAACGACAGCGCATTCGAGTGCAAGAATTATTAAAAGGCGACGTGTTTCGCTACTCAAAATGAGCAACGGGGCGGCGTCAGCCGCGGAAATTCCGTATTCATATGGCGGGCGCCAGTACATCCGCAGGCCAACCAATGTTAACGTGGTACTGTCGTCACCAATACCGCGGTTAAATGCGATACTACTGCTGCGTTGGCAGCGGTCCACAAGCCACAATTCGACAAAACATTCGTGAATAACACTGCGGCCTTAAAGGGAAGACACGTATAACAGGCGACGTTTCGGTCAATGGCCCTTCGCGGTGCTTAAACGCCGTTTGTAATTACCTTCACGGCCCTGGGCCGGTTCCCCTCACGGTATTTAGGTCGATTGAAGCAATGGGGCTGCTGCTGGTGATGTTTTTGAGGCTCCATAACGCTGACAATGGCATTAACAATCGGAAATGTTAAAAAAAACCTATCCCGACACTGAACACGGCGTGCGTGCCCATTCGCAAGTGGCGGCCATCTTACTCGGGGAAGCGAAGCGAGACACGTGGGGGGGGGGGAATCGTGATGACGTCACTCACGAGCGGTCATCTTCCCAAGTTCACATTGTCTGTATGTAATTTTCTTTATTTATTTTGGTATAGTCCTGTGAGCCATTCGGCTCTTGAATCGGGTGCAACCATAACCTAAACAACAAAAAAACACGAACAAGAAAAACATCTTAAAGTGACTATGTGACCGTGCAAACAGAAAATACATGGAAAAAAAAACAGCAAAAATATTCCTGAAAAAAAATCACCGTACACCAACGCTGTGTGCAACAAATCCCAGTCAAACAACAACCACAAGAAAACTTAGATGAAGGCCATCAGTCTAACTCCGTACTACAATATAACAAACATGTCCAAACCAAAAAGCGTTTTCGAAATCAACAAAAAATAAAGCCATAATTGCAACGTAACAGTGATCATAGGGACTGCAATGGAATGCAATGTCTGCGTACCCCTTACCAAAATGTCTGCTTATCCCTTACCAATATGTCTGCTTGTCCCTTACCAATGTTTGTATATCCCTTACCAATATGTCTGCGTGACCCTTACCAATATGTCTGCTTGTCCCTTACCAATGTTTGTATATCCCTTACCAATATGTCTGCGTGACCCTTACCAATATGTCTGCGTATCGCTTACCAATGTCTGTATATCCTTTACCAATATGTCTGCGTATCCCTTACCAATATGTCTGCGTATCCCTTAGCAATGTGGCTCGGCTCCTGTTAGGGGCGTCGGTTGTGTACCAGGCGTCATCACAGGGCGCCTCACAAACACCAACCCGGTCGGTGATCGCCTCTCTCCGCCTACGGTCAGTTCACGAGCTTATTATTGATGTGCTTGTTACGTTCATTTCAACATAAACACGAGTTCTTTTGCATTCGGTGATCCCTCTGAATTATTGAGCGCTTGCGCATTGCGAAATAAACCCGCGCGGCCGATGCAAAGCGAACACGGAACAGCAGCGTCCGTGCTGGTTATCCCCGTCTTGTCTGTGGGGAGATGGTGGGGGGGTGAAGAGCTTTATAGCTCATCGGATTCCTCCAGTATGAGTAAATATTCTGATTTTGATTCCGTGGCTACGCTGTTATGCTGTGAGAGCTTCCACGGTTCGGTTCGATTTTCGTGGGGCGCGGCAGTTTAAAGAATGCGCGTAAGTTTTAGTTTTTATCACCTCCCCACTTTCCACTGCATCGTAATTGGGTAACGCCTCAGGCCCATTGGCAGATTGTGGTGTGGAGTAAAAGTCTCCTAAAGTGAACTCTGCGCCTTCACCTTAGGGACCGTCCATACATGACGTCACGCTATTTTTGACGATTTTTGACCCCCCCCCCCCCACCCTTCGTCACACGACGTCACAAAAAGTCAGACCCCCCCCCGCAAATATGACGTCACAAAGCTCTGCCCCCCCCCCCAAAAAAAATACATAAAACATGCTTCAAATCTGATGTTGTATGAGAAAACATTTATTAAAAGAAGTCGATTTAATTAAGTAGAACGTGTTGCTTATATTTTTTTTAAAGCTGCGCATTTTGATGTGACGTCACATTTCTCAACCAACACCCCCCCACCCTTCGTCACACATCGTCACAAATGTCTGACCCCCCCTCCCCCCCCCTAGGTGCGTGACGTCATTTATGGACGGCCCCTAAATGTAAAAAAAAATCTCGAGTCGGTTGCCATGACAGCATCTCTCAATGCACTACTGCTGCGTTGTGTACGGATGTGTGTGTGTAGAGTTTTCGTGCTTTGGTGCTGCCCGGGTTCCCTGCCGTGGTGTCGAGACGTTCCATTCACCAGAATGTAAACACAAAACGCGGTTGCCATGGGCCCGCATGTGTCAATGCACTTCTTCATCTTCTTCGTGTCTCCTATCCAACCTACATGGCCTTCCCCCCCCCCCCCCCCCCCCCAATATTCTGTACATGCCACCGCTTCTGGTGTTAGTTTTTGCCAAACATTGAGGAGTGCATTGTCGTGCTGCAGGGCATCTCAGGAGATGATCTAATGGTTTGCTTCTCCTGACAAGCACAGTCTTCGGTTTGTGCAGAAGCCCCATGATTTCATGGGAGAGTTGCGTCTGCCAAAACCCACTCCTCAGTCTGTTTAGGCTCTGCCATGTGATCCATTTGGAATTGGAGCCAGGTGCCAGCTCCTCACTGGGGATGTTTCCTCGCTGGCTCCATTCAGCAGTTTTTGTCACCTGATTTTTTTTCCCGTATCTTTTTGGCAGAGGGAAGTTCTTGCAGATTCCGGTGATTTTTTTTTTGGTCAGTCGTACGGTGTGAGCACAAGAAGCTGTTTCTCAATGGCAGACGACGGTGGTGCTGGCTGATGGCCACGTAGCGGATGACGGACGTCCCACTCTATGACTTGCCGGTCGTGGTCACATGCTCACCTCCTCCTGATGTTAGGGGGCGCTATGCCAGTGCATATAGGCAGGGAACACACGGGTGGCGGGTGGCTCTCAGGCACCATGATATGATTCTACACGTGTCATTTAGGGCGGTGTCGACATGCTTTCTCTGGATTGAGCGTCCCCAGGCAGAGCATGCATATTCAGCCACAGAGAAACAAAGTCAATGCACTCTGTGTTGCGTTGTGTATGGATGTGCGTGTCGGTATTGAATGCTGGTGCTACCCCGGGTTCTCTGACGTGGCGCCGAGATGTTCCATTTACCATTAATGTAAACGACACCAGTGACGATTATCTGAACTGGACCTGAGCCCCCCCCCCCCCCCCCCCCCCTAGCCTCAAATGAGTACCTGGTACGGTGTGTAAACATGGACAATGGGGAGAAAAAGCCGGTCGGGCATGGAGCTGGCCACCCACTCCCTCGTCTGCCGCCGTGGCAGCCTCCATAGGTGCTCGCTAACAGCTCTCGCCCCAACAGTCTGTTAATAATACACGGGGGATCTTTGTCTGTGCAGAGTTGCGTGCTGGTGCTGCCCTGTTTCTCTGCTGTGGTGCTGCGATGTTCCTGGTCGGTCTCACGGGAGGCATTGCGTCTGGGAAGAGCACCGTCGCCTCAATCTTCCGAGAGCTGGGATGCCCCGTCATCGACGCCGATGAAATTGCTCGTCTTGGTGAATTTCAGCAGAATCTGTTCATCTATTAGCATGTAAAATGTGTCCAGGAGTACCGATCAAACATTCCCAAAGTACCTCGGCAAAATGAGCACTAGGTGGCGCCCATATGCACCTTTAAATTCAGATTGAAAACGAATTGTCTCTCGAACTGCTTTTTGTGCACAGTTTGTTGTCCTTCCCGTGCATCTCCGATTAGCACGGTTGGCTACGCTAAAAAAAGATGTTCAACATACATACATATCCGTTGTGGCAGCTTTGAACAATAGAAATACCTAATTTATATTCAAATGGGCAGCAATGGTGATTATTGTGCTTCACTCTGAACCTGACCACCCGAGTTTGATACCAGGCAATAGCTAAAATCAGTTGCAAGTGTTATATGAACTAGTCCTCTGCCTCCCAGGACCGATGCTAGGCCTATTGAACCTTGAGTTTTAAATGACAACCTATGGTTGCGTGGTGCATTTGGTCACAGCCTTGCTTGGTCAGATAACAACTAGAACATCCCAAAATAAATTAAACATATTTTAGACAATAACTTTTTTCGAATCAGCAGCCCCATGTGTTTATGTTTTTCTAATAAGACGGTGTTACCGAAAGTCGTTGCAGTCTTTTTAGTTTAGCTTGTGCTTTTAAACCACTGCCAAAACTGGCCCTTAATTTGTTTGTTAATAAACTGATTGATTCTTCGCTTGGTGATGTCATGCATGTGTGTTTGTAGTTGTGGAGCCAGGCCGGCCAGCGTTGAAGAAAATTGTTGAATTCTTTGGAGCGGAGGTGCTGCATTCAGATGGACGTCTCAATCGCGAAAAGCTCGGTGCCATCATCTTTGCCGAGCCACAGAAACGCCGACTGCTCAACTCCATTACGCACCCCGACATCCGACGGCATATGCTCAAGCAAATCCTGTGGCACTTTGTGCGTGGTGAGAGCTTCACCAAGTTTGGTTGCATTCCATTGCATTTACTTATCAATATTAAATTAAGTGTCTCTAGCTGAGATGGCCGGCGTTGTGATCCGAGTGCCGGACTCACAAGCAGGAGGTGAATTCAAACCAAAGTCGGGGGTTGTGTCAGCCCATCATTCCGAAGGAAGTGAGTAATGTTCTAGATTTAAAGCTTTCGCGACTGCTAGGATCCATACTCTTTGGTTCTATTGGGTAAAGTCACGTAGGTAAAAAAATAAAATAACAAAAATCACGACGTTTCGGCCACAACACAAGCGGCCTTCATCAGATGAAGGGACGAGACTGTCTGGAGGACAGCGCTGGAGTGAAAAAAGCCACGCTCAGATCACGACCTTTAAGCTGTGTGAGAAGTAATATTCTTTAGGAAGTCAACATTGGTCTTATTGGTATACTGCCACATAGTAAGACGACATATGATTGGGACAATTGTTTACGCTTAACGTGTTTTCTCTTAATGCAGTATTTTTCAGGAACGCATCTACCATGTTAAAGGAGGAATCTGTTTATACACATAGTTTTGGGACAATTACTTTTGAAAAGTGGTCAGTTCCTGATATATTTATTATTTAAAGGATTAGAGGTATAATTTGATACAATATTTAGGAGTTGTATTAACGTAGAAGTTTTATTGACGTAAAATATTTACTTGCAATAAATGAAATTGGGTTCATTTATTCTGGGAAATAACACTATGCTGTGGTTGTAGGCATTTTAACTTCATACATATGCATTAGCTCCTCCTGTCTTTGCATTGATGTAATCATAGCCAAAGCTATCGATGTCACCACATATCACTAATGTTTTCCAAGTCCCCTACCAGATCCTGCAATTGCTGCACAGTAGACATGTGACCTCCACGATTTGCTGTAACTGGATCCAGCCTACTTGTCCGAAGCCTTCCCCTAAGTGGATGTCCTCTTGGAGAATACTCCAATGCCTAACTCCGGAATCGACCCTTCCCCATCCTGCACGTGTCCCAACCAGCTCAGCCATTTTTCCTTATTGTATCTACAAATTACCTGCCCTGTTCTGTTCTGGACTTCTGCATTGATTATCCTTTCTTGCGGCAAAAGTCCGAGCATCCATCACCTATGCTCTGATGCCATCAAATTATATTAGAGCTGCATGGGTTCCAGCTCTCTCATCCATACAGTAATACGGATATCACTGACACCTCAAATACCATTTTCTTTACACTTTGACTTATCTTTCTTCTCTTCAACATGGTTTCCATTGCCCATCAACAATCTGAAATATAGCAATGTGCCTGTTCACCTTGAAGGGGAAACATCAAAATGGTTTTATGTTTGGACATGTTTCATCTAGAGTTGTATGTTGTCTCCCACTTAGTGTAATGTTGTGCTTGACTATGCCTAAACACTGTGTGTAGGGTTAGCACAGTAGAAAACCCAGCTATGAATACCAGTGAGATGAATGTGTGGGACTTTGAATGTGCAGATGATGCTGGTTTGGGGCCTGGAACTTGACCATTACCACATTTTTATAGTTTTTGTTATAAAATTAGTAGTGACATGGAATCACCTGGTTGATTCAAAGGAACACTAATCCAGTTGCACAATGAAGATATCGTAATCATGCAAGAATTCCAAGAGCTGGCTTTGACAATCTGATTACAGCAATGTACTAACCCTGGTATGCAGGAGGGTTCAATCCCGACCTTGGCGCCTGTATATTTGGAGTTTGCATGTTCTCGCTCCCCGTGGTCACGTGGATTTTTCTCCGGGTCCTCTGGTTTTTCCCCCCACATTTAGAAACATGGGTTTAGAATATTTGGCTACGATAATGTGCACATGATAAGCCACTTCGTTGAGCTATTATTTGTGGCCAGGTCACTTATGAAAAAGAGCTATATAGCTCAGTGGGCCTTACCTGGTAAAATACAAAGTTTCGTTTATATTTTGTTGTTACTTCCAACTTGGGTTGGCTCCACTGACAAAAATGTTTTTAAACTAAGTTAATCTTCAGCTTTAAATGCTGATGAACAGAATAATGTATTCAGATTTCGGCTGAAGAACAAAAGGTGCTCTTCGGTGCACCTCTACACTTCACTTTACTTATTACCCTCGGCTAACAGTCTTGGGGTGTACGTGTGGAGCTGTGTGACTAGCATCCCTTCTACACGCTGTGTGTCCACCCTTTCAGGATACCACTATGTGATCCTTGATGTCCCTCTGCTTTTCGAGAATAAGACGATGAGCAGATTCATCAAGCACTCCATTGTGGTCTACTGGTGAGTATAACACAACATCAGTGCCCTCTGTAATTGACTTATAGTAATTGTTTATGATAGTCCCTCCTACACGTGAATTTTCTCCCAGCTGTCTGTTTTCTGTCAATACCTTATGATCAATAATTAGACAAATATTCAAACAAATACTTTGCATGGATATGCAATCGTTAAGGCATACATGATGCAGTGGGTGAAACAGGTGGGTGCCTGATGCACGTGATATCATCTTAGCACTTTCTACAAGTCTTTATGCAGCTGTATATGTCGAAACAAGCAAATGTCCTCCATATACAATGCCTATACAGTGTATGTATATTGAACTTCTTTTGCATCGTACGTAGCTAACCGTGCTAATTGGAGGTGCGGGAGGAGGTCAACAAACTAAACACAAAAAGCAGTTCTAAAGAAACGAGTTGCAAGTGTGTGTCACTGCGATTTCTCCATTGCAAACAAGCCATTAACATCTTTAAACGGAGGATTTCTTCAATAGAGGAGTATTATTACATTTGTTGTAAATAATTTTTCTTCTAATATTTTTTTGCAGATATTCACAAGTAAGCTCTGCCAAAATGAACTACAATCTAGTGGATAGTATATCGGTCACAAATGCAAGGCTTTTTTAACAGCTGCTATTGGGCGCATAGTGATAGTCATCAATGGGACCATCCTAAGGATAGGCTTGGACCCACCATGCAAATGTAGACTTTTTGACACGGTTGGCTACATACGGTGCGAAGGAAGTTATACATACATATTATTTATATGTTGCCAGTAAGCAGGCTCCATTGCTCGCTTGACCACTTTAATGCAACCACCAGTGTGTGGTGCTATAGATCCATGCTGCTGAATTTCAGACTCCAAGGTGACCAATATAGCTTGCTGTTCTGTGCCCGTGGACAAGACTTTGTATCAGTCAGCAGTACGACACGTCTTTAGCAGAAACGAACTGGCTAGGTGGCGCTGCGGTCAGAGCATTGGACTCACATTTGGAAGTTTACTGGTTCAACTCCCAACTGGGAGTCACCTCTGCCTATCTTCCCCACTGGTGTCAGTGGGGAAGAGACTCAACCATGCCATGGGAATGTGAAATGTCACATGCTGGCTCATGGCTAGCAACAGAAGTGAGCACCACCTAGCATTTCCTTGAGGGTGGAGACAATGTTGTTTATGATTAATGATGTTCAAAGTAAATAAAAAAAGTGTCTCCACAATGCAATTTGGGGCAGCATTAATTAAAATAATTTAGTTTGGGTGATGCTACAGTTATTAATACCCATTTTTCAATCAGAAAAGTTGCAAGTTTAAATCCCAATCGGCTTTCAACTCAGCTTATCATTCTGCTGGGATTTACAGAGAGCTACTCAATTTGTGGAAATTCAAAAATGGTCCACCTATAAACAAACTAGTTACTGCCATGGGAATGAGGACTTTCCACCATTGATACAGCAATGCCATTTTGAACGAGTACCGTTTCATATTCAGAAGCCGCTTTTTCGTGAAATTAACAATATTTGTGTTACGGTGAGACTGGTCGCCAACATAAAACTCCGGAAATTCTATCACTGACTCAGAAACGCCCACACATGATTTCCCACCCACCCAGTGTTCGTTTAAGCAGCAAGACACTTTCACTCATTGAGGCTTCCCTGAATGAACGAAGCACTTTGAATGAAGTAGCAGCAGTTCCATGTGCACCGTTGTCTCTCTCTCTCTCCGCCCGTCGTGCCCCGGGCGCAGTGACCCCGAGAGCCAGCTCTCTCGCCTGATGCAGAGGAACTCGCTGCCGCGGCACGAGGCCGAGCTGCGCATGCGAGCTCAGATTCCGCTGGACCAGAAGCGCCTGCTCGCCGACCACGTGATCGACAACTGCGGCGAGCGAGAGGCGACGCGGCGGCAGGTGGTGCGGCTGCACGCTCTGCTCGACGCCTCGCTCCACCACCTGCCCGCCCGCCTGCTCGCCGTGCTTGCCCTGAGCGCGGCGGGCGGCGTCACAGTGTGGCTGCTTAGCAAATTGTGCGTCGGAGCCGGCAGTGGCCCTTTGGGGCTGGGTTGAAATGCAGGGGAGGGAGGGAGGGCGGTCGCTCGCTCGCTCGCTCGCTCGCTCTGCTTTGTACGAAGTATGAGGGCGATTGAAATTGAAAGGTCTGCGCCGTTGTGTAGAGGAAATGAAAAGTGGCACGGAATGAACGGTGGTGATTTGTCTGCAAGCAAATTTTTTTGATTTGGTCATTCCGACATGATCACCCTGAACGTGACCGATCTCGCCAAATCAGGTTGAGCCAGGGGTTTGGATTGGGCTGTGAGGTGGCCAGTTGATGGCAGTACAGCAATGGATAAAAGCCATCTGTATAGAGATTTGAGTCCTACTTGTGGTTTTCTTGGGTTTTATGATTTCTTCCAACATGCTAAACGGTTATGGCATTGGCCAAACATCACATTGTAGGATCCTCCTTAAATAAAGTCTTGAGATTCATGATTGTTTTTTATGATTATTATTAACTAAAATTGACTGTTCAGTTAAAGTGTACATTAAAGAATGAACATTGTATCGGAGTAAATGAATGGCATAATTTTCATGGGTGACGAAAATAATAAAAATTTCAAGTATTGGAAAATTGAATTTTTTTTTGGAAAAGCCAAAAGATTGTTACTCATTTTTTTAAACAAAGCCTACATCCTAAGACTTTTTCAGGAGACCTTGCTTCGGGATGCTTTGCCAATTCCTTTTGATCTCGCGTTTTGCATGTGGGATAAAACCAAGGCACCTGAAGAAATCCCACCCATACAGAGGATAGTGAAGTCAAAAAAATGTTTTTGTTAAACACGTGGACACCTTTCTGGCAAAAATCTGCAACTCAAAGGATAGCGCTCGAAGTTCTGATGGTTTCCAGACCCTGCCTTTTGTACTGCCATACTATTTCCACAAAGCAAATTTGAGAGTTTTACAAATACTGATCATCCAACCTTCATCTGCAAAGCACACTAATGTGGTCACGTGTCAGCACGCCCAACTAAAACCAGATAAAATACAGGGAAATCTGGCTAAAACTCGGACCAGTTTTGCCTGCTAGTGACTTCCGTATGTTGTCTGAGCAAAAGAAATTGCGTGGAAGAGCATTGTTTGAGTGACAAGGGATGTGTGTTATGAACTATTTTCTTGACAAGTGAGACAATTATTCTGGCTGTGGAGTAAAGTCTTGGAACGTCAGTTGACCAAAGTGCATTGAACTTCAATGGTGCAAAAATAAGATAATTACGTAGACAATAAGCCTCCTTTCTCGTGTCTATTACTCCAGGTAAAAAAGTGAACTTATCCCAACAGCCACACGGCCTTCTGCAAGTGCATAATTTCAAGACAATTGGTTTAACACAAGAAAACTGGACCGGTTTCAGCATTCATTGTCATGTCACCAAGTTAGACTTGCTTGAACTAATACTGATTAATTGCCAGATATGTATAGGCACGGACCCTCTTAATTAAATTGTTAAATATGTAACGTTAAATAATCATAAGCTTGGCTGCTGATGAGACACTCAAAATGGGCCCAGATTTTGCTGTATTGAATCAATGCTGCTGAAATTACGTACTCCCAGAAGCCCATGTGGCTAATGGAATGTGTAAATCATACTTTGAGCACATGTAACTTATAATACTTGTTTTTTTTTTAAATCTGGATGAAGAGATATGGGAAGGAGGCGTATTTCCTGCTTATTTCTTAATTTTCTTCCCCACAACGATCCAAATACTTTTTTTTGTTTTGAGTAAAAATAACGGTTTTATTGTGGTCATTTGGTCAATCATCAATTTCTCTGTCAGGACACAGACTTTTAAATCAACCTCGTATGATATTTTTCGTTCAAATGTATTGTACGTCTTGCATTTAAGCACACAACCTTCTGGCTGTCGGTTAAGCACCCTGATCACTGGCAACACAATGCCTTGCAGTGGAATGAACTCGTCCCAGATAATGGCCCTATCTTCTGAAGACACTTCAATCGTCATTGTATCCACACTAGTCCCTCGTTACATACGCTGTAAAAAAAGGCATTTGTCACATTTCAATCAAAATGATATGAATAGTCCTCGGAGCTAAATTATGAATGTTATTTTAACGAGCTAATATAATGTTTTTTTATTTAAATTACATTTCAGTATTTGGTGACGAGGTGAGACCATCCACTTTCCCACATTTGATCAACCAGTTTGGCGTTTCGTTTAAGCCTAATCCAGTGGTGAACCACTCATTATAGAGCATCAAAGAGCACTGTTGAGTGTTAAGACATTGCAAGTAATTATTCGTGGTGTAACGATTCATATTGTAATGTCATCAATTAAGGTAGCAATTCCACTCAATAATCAATTGTTTTCGGTTTAATTTTGGCCGTCTCGTTTCTATTGTTACTAAATTATTAGCTTACATTTTTTGGTTTTGCTCAGCATTTATTTTGCACACTTTGGATTCATGGAGAGATGCCAGTTCTTGTCGACACAATTCGATACATGTATCTTGAGCCTTAAGCATGAACAGCAATTGATTAATCTATACATCTTTACACCCCTCGTAGTTATCACTTTATCCTGCTGGGTAGGCGGGTAGGTTTTGCGGTTCGAGTGTTATAATCGTAATTCGAGTTGTGGCATGTTAAATTAGCCTATCCTGGGGTTGCTAATAATATGCATCACATTGTGGGAAGTAAAGAGTGGTTTAAACTTTATTTGAAGCTTTCGTGACTGCGGGAATAGCTCTTTGGTTCTTCAGGTAAAGTCACGTAGAAATAAAATAAAATAAATAATATAATACGACGTTTCAATTGCAACAGAAGCAGTCATCATCAGGTAGAACTAAATTTGAGAGACAAAACACAGACATGGAGACACAGACACAAAAGCAGAGAGCAACACAATATAGACACACAGAGACCCGATGCCTCTGTGTCATGGCCTTAAATAGAGAGGTGGGGGGGGCAGAGAGAGAGGTGGGTTTGCTGGAGCTGAGAAATTAGCATGTCAATGAGAGAGCTGTGTGGAAATCCACCCCGCAGCGGCAGGGGGAGAGAAAGACCCAGCAAGTCTGGTACATTTTTTTTTTAGAGAGAGCTGTGTGGAAATACACCACACAGCGCGACTTTAGCAATCTTTGGAGAACGTAATCAACCAGGCTATGCGTTAACTGTGTGTTAGCCGACTCTGAGTTGCATTGCATTACATTGCCAAAAATTTGCTAAGTTTTCTCAAACTGCCTATTTCTCTCTCGAAAATTTACCAGGCTCTCATAGGTCCATTCGCTCTTTCTCTCTCCCGGCCGCTTCGGGGTGGATTTACACACAACTCTCTCTAAAAATGTTTTTACCAGACGTGTTGGGTCTTTCTCTCCCCCTGCTGCCGCGGGGTGGATTTCCACACAGCTCTCTCATTGACATGCTAATTTCTCTGCTCCAGCAGACCCACCTCTCTCTCTCTGCCTCCCCCCCCCTCTCTCTCTCTATTTAAGGTCACGACACAGAGGCATTGGGTCTCTGTGTGTCTATGTTGTGCCTCTCTCTGTGTGTCTCTGTGTTGTCTCTCTCTGCTGTGTCTCCGCGTCTGTTGTTTTGTCTCTCAAATTTCGTTCTACCTGATGACGACTGCTTGTGTTGCAATCGAAACGTCGTATTCTATTATTTAATTAATTTTTTTTCTACGTGGCTTTACCCAAAGAACCAAAGAGTAATCAGTGGTTGTCTTATGCAGAGGCTGACCCCTACGATAGAAATGGGGCAGGGGATTGGTTTTACATGCACTCAGATATAAGTGCTGACCTATTGCTTATTTGAGTAGACGTAACATCATTCTAGAAAAGTAGATGTTACAAAATGTCAGGAAAATATAATTGTAGGACCGTATAATGTGCTAATTTTAATGACATTGACTCACAGTTTACTTTATAGACATCGGAATGCTTTGATGATCACTTAATTATCAGAATAGGTTCCTGAAAAATGTAGCAGGAATCGAATTGTCAACACTGAACAAAGGGATTTGATGGCATGTGATATGGCAAACAGGCTATACAGCTGCCACGCTTTGTGTATGCTCTGTATATGCTTTGCTTACGAGTGTATTCACATTTTCATTCACGAATGCAGTAAAACTGAACACTATGTTCTGGGATATTCGAGAATGATTTACATTCTTGGGTGATATTTTTGTGGGCAGGCTCAGAAATAAATGAAACAATTGTTTTAGAGGACATTGATACTATTGGGGGGGGGACCCAGACAGTTAAAGTTCAGTGCAGCGTTTTTAAAAGCTGTTTTGTTTTTTATGGATACATTTATTGACAGTTTTAGCCTAATTGGAGTAAGACAGTTTTTCATTTACGTTGACACTTGATCAATGTGATGTACGCTCCCTGTTTTTAATGAATGATTCATATAAATCTGATTATGCGAGACTTCCTCGCTTATATTAAATAAACAGATGCGTGTCTTGCGATTGAATTGCATTTTAATGAATGTTGAGTGCAATAGACCATTTTTGATGCAATGGGCATTGCGTGATTGCTGACTACTTAAACTGTTTACAGTATACGTTTTGCATTCATATATACATGTGTGGGTGCTCGTGTGTGGATTTGTTTGCATACTACCATGTGTGGGTGTGTATTTATTTATTTGTGTGAGGAGCGGTGAAGTAGTAGTGTTAAGGACTCTTGTGCTACAATCCCTTCAACCTGAGTTAAATTTCATGCCATGCCTGACTTTGTTTCGAACCTCCCTGAGGTTAACTCGGCCTTGTACACGTGTCACTTAAGGGGGGGGGGGGTAACTAGAGCTCATCTCTGTGCTACCTGTCTCCCCACTTGTGATGTTTACATACCACACCAGTTACTCATTAAAAGCCAAGCCCACCCAGGGACCTACTGTATACAGATGTAAAGGAGAGCCGACAAAAGGTTGCAGGGGGTTCGTCTTATTCCTTTCTCCAGGCCACACCTGTCCCCAGCCGTCTCAATCTCGTTCTCGCCAAGATCCTCCTCTTCCTGCCCGTTCTCTCTCTTCTATCTCCTCGCTTGCTCCTCCCCCTTCCCCTGTCACTGTCCCACTCCCCCTCCTTTTGGTGGGAATCCTTCCCCTGACACCCGTTACATCACCCCCCCCCCCCCCCCCCCCGGAAGAAAAAAACCTGTCCTCGGTCCTGCCTACCCCATGGACCATGTAAATCTCCCCATGAGCCTCCCTCCACTGACAGTGACGACCGCCCTTAACCCCCCTGCAACCATACAATTCAATATAACACAACAACATCAATGGAACGGTCTGCCCTCGTCTCCAGCCAGAGCCCCGTAACAGCCCAGATGACCGCGGCGGCCCCCTCCGTCGGAGGGTCTCTCGTCGCGGTCCCCGGTTCGGTGGCGCCGGTGCCGCCTTGTCTGGTGCTGCTGTCTCTCCAGCCGACCTCTCCGTCAGGCCTCACATGGGGCGCTGTAGGTGACAAGGGAACACAGGGCACCGAACCCCCTGCCGGTCGGCGAGTGGTGGTCAGCGACCTTGGCCTGGGTGGGGGTGATGATGATGGCGGTGACGATGGCGGTGATGATGGTGGAGATGCTGGTGAAGAGATGTATGGCTTAAGGCGGGTGGGGGTGCACAAACCATCGTCGCTTGCCCAGTTGGACCTGGACGCACTGCGGTCGGAGTGCTTTAACGACCTTGACCGGCCCTTTCCAGGGTCGGTGCAGTTTCGGTGAGAGGCCGGCCGGCACCTGAGGACAGTGTAGCCATGCCTGGTCCCCGACTTTAAAGGGCCTGGCTGTCACTGTCCTCTCCCGTATCCGTGCATTGCTCCCTTGGCTAGTGGCCGATGCGACCTCGGCTGCCTGGCGGGCCTCCCTCAAATAAATGAGGGAGGCCTTTAGTGCCTTTGGCCACGCGTCGGCTCTTGCGGGAATGTCCGTCAGCTGCACCTCAATAGGCGGAACGGGATCTCGTCCGTACATCAGGATAAATGGCGAGAACCCCGTTGCTGCGTGCGGGGCCACCCTGTACGCCGCTAAGACCGATGGGATGTGGAGGTCCCAGTCGGAGTGGTTTTCGTCCACCACTTGGGACAGCATGGCCACTATTGGTGAGGTTAAGCCGCTCCACCATCCCATCGGTCTGGGGATGATACGGAGATGTTCGGACCTTTTTAGTGCCCAGGATAGAGCAGACGTCCTTCAATTGCTGGGAAGAGAAATTCCTGCCTTGATCCTTGAGCAACCGCTACGGTGCCCCCTTATCAAGAACATAGCCCCCCACGAATGCATCGGCATAAGTATGTGCTGTTTGGTCCGGGAGGGCCCACGCCATCGGCCACCTTGTGCAGTACTCGACTCCAACCATCAGGTATTTATTTCCTCGTGGTGTGACGCAACCAATTCATTGACCCTGGTCACCGTGATGGGCTGCAGGGGCGCCCGCGTTACCCGGGGTGGTGGCTTCCTTCGCGCGCATTCGACGCATGTAGCGACCCATCGGTGCACGTCAGTGGTCATGCCTGGCCAGAAGTACCGACCCTGTAATGTGGCCAATGTCTTCCGCCCTGCCAGGTGTAGCAGCTGGCGGCAGTGCACGTCCATCACCAATTGTCGACGCAGCGACTCTGGAACCACCAGGCATCGCTGGCATCCTGCCGGGTCCCAT